CTATTCTGCAAAAATGTGAGGTATACTGGGTCACGTCATAACCGACATGTGATAGGGACTTGCCTGAATTGATAGCGCGTTAATGACGAGTCATCAAAATAGATTAAAAGCCTTGAGGCAGTGCATGTGTAAAAAAGATTTGGTTCCCCCATAGTATTTCCATTCCAACATTTGTTCCTGTAATAGTGCACGCGGAACAATTATTTCGTTCCGCACACACAGAATTTATTCCGGGTAAAGAGGAACTTCCACACACATCATAAAGTGTCTAAAAGAGGGTTTTGTTTGTCCGGGTGGTCTTAAAAATTTGGTCGTGGGGGGAACAGAAAGGAAAAAAAAGATTTTCCCACGGTATTTGTTCCATATGGAACAAATCATGTGGCTATCAAGAAGCAATTATCATGTGTGAAAGTTCCTTAATTTTTTTAATGAAAATGCATTGTAGATTCCCAAGAATCCGAACTGATGATTCTAAATGAATCTTGTGTTAAAAAGAGTTCAGTTATTATGTAACCAAGTTACCTTTATTAATCAGGTTAGTCATTAGCCAGGTTACAGTCAACATTTTACAAAGTTAGTCAGTAGCCAGGTTACAGTCAACATGTAACCAAGTTACAGTCAGTAGCCAGGTTACAGCCAGTAGCCAGGTTACAGTGAGTAGCCAGGTTACAGTCAACATGTAACCAAGTTACAGTCAACATGTAACCAAGTTACAGTCAGCCAGTAGCCAGGTTACAGTCAACAAGAAACCAACAACAGTCAGTCAGTAGCCAGGTTACAGTCAACATGTAACCAAGTTACAGTTAGTCTGTAGCCAGATTACAGTGAACATGTAACGAAGTTACAGTTAGTCAGTAGCCAGGTTATAGTCAACATGTAACCAAGTTGAAGTTATCACTGGAATAGGTTAGGCCTACGGTATTTGTTCCTGTTCGACGGAATATTTGCCGTATGTGCGGAATTTTTATTCGTGTCATCCATTCTCAATTTCACGGCATTTATTCCGAACCGGAACATTTACTACTCGGAACTAAATCATGTTTACACATGGTCTGGACGTGAGATACCCAGCGAGCGCGCTAACAGGACATATAGTTCCGAGACAATAGGAGAGTGAGTGAGTTACTGAGTTAATATTTAACGTCACATCGGCAATATTTCCGCCATATTGTGACGACAAAATCTGAGGTACTAAGAACAAACATATTTATTTAATAACCTGCCAGTGAAGGACAGTGTAACGACTAGAATATCACATTTCGATTGAAACTAGTTTGAGTTGAGTGTAAAATGTTAAATCATTTCAAAACACCACAATATAAAAATGGGCTATAGATCGCCAACAACTGAAGGTAGATCACCATACTAGGGACTATCGGGACTTACAGTACATTTGCTTCCTGCATGGACCCTAGCTGGATATACATTATCCCTTCAGCTATTAGCAATTTTAGATAATCTAGCCACAAATTAAACGATCGTATATTCTACGATTAAAAAAATTTACTTTGAATATTTTGGGACCCTCAGGAGGACAATCATTTTACAGTACTTTAACCCCCTTGAGGATACAACCATTAACAATCTGAGTTATTAATTCAAACTTCCAATCATTAAATATTTATCTATATACGATTCATTCATCAACTCGAATTCTTTTTGAAAAGCGATAATTAAATGAGAACTGATATTATTAAAAAGAGCCGTCACAGTTGGTGATTTAACACAGGTACCCCTTGTGATGAAATATTCAACACATTCACGCAAGACATGCTTGACCGTGATTCTTTCCTCACAAGGGATGCAAAACGGAGGATCCTCACTTTTCAATAGATATTCATGAGTTTATCTTGTGTGACCAATACGACATCGTTGCATAATGACCTCTTCAAATCTGGACTGACAACCCAAGAAGGTGTAAAAAAGAGTTTTATTGCTTGTAGCAAGCTCATTTTATAATTCAATAATTTCTATTAAAAGTTGATGTTTACAAGACAGATTTTTAATCGCCTGAAGGCAAGAAAGAGAGTCTGAAAATATGACATATTGTTTATATTTAGGGTGTTTATTAATTTATTTTAAGGCTGTTAATATGGCGTTTGCTTCGGCTGTCAAAATAGAGCTGTTACCCGGCAATCCAGAAGATACTGTTCTGGATCCAATGTTGTTTAAAGAGAGAGCTTCCTAATGTTCAGTTATGTGTAAGCCTTTCTCAGGCGTCAACATGTGTGATTTACACCTGACATTGAATACATCTTTGAACCATCAAGATAGTCCCATTTGTTGGGATATAGCGTGACCATGAGTGCTGTTTTGACTGTGAAGATTCTGGATGGGGTAGAATAAATTCCACTTATTTGATTTATTAAGTGCTGTGAATGTGACACTTTGGTGCAAATGATCTTGTTGTTATTAAGCAAGTATGACATTATACAAGCAGTTTATCCAGAGAACTTGTTCTCCTTCATCACGCAAGGCTCTGGAAGCCTCATTGTGTGGACTGACTGTAAAATGTATAAAAAAGAAAGAAATCCATTTTCAACAAAATACTTTTATGTGAAACTTACGCTAATTCATGATTACATACATTACATGAATAAATTGTATTCTTTTTGACTGAAGAATGTCTTGAAATATATCTCAAAATGAACATCACAGTCACAGATATGTCAACTTCACTTGAACAATTACATGTTAATCACTGGATTGTCTTGTCCAGACTTGATTATTACAGACCACCGCCATATAGCTGGAATATCGCTGAGTGCGGCATAACAAAAAAACTCACTCACTCACTGAACAATTACATGCACTGACCGTGGAATGTCAAAAAACATGCAATTGAGTGGATGTGAAAGCTCAATTAATCCCACTACAGAGTGTTCATGTATATTAACTCACTCACTCACTCATGTATGAATCAAAACTAACTGTCTACTACACAAGGTAAATATGTTGATTGAGGTTAAAAAAAGGCGAACTGTGAAATACAACCCATGATACTTGTTTCAACTGAAAAAAGCTTGCACATCATTTTCTCACATCAAGTGACTTGTGTGTTGTATATACCTCTGATCGAATTTCGATCAAAACGTTTCGGGGGGCGTGGCCTATTCCCAGCGTCAGGACACAAAGAGTCGATGACGTCACGAATCACGCGATGCCAAAATACGGTCCCATAGCGTCCCTCGCTGTACAATGGTTTGGAGATGAGTGGTGATTGGTTTTGGATCATAATTTAGTCAATCCAAAGGAGTACCGATAGAACAAAGCCTATAAAAATATATGAACGTAGCGTCCCTACGTCAGCGTCATTTCCTTCGAGTCATCGTTTTGAAAACTGTGTGGCGGTCCCACAAATTCATTTTCAACTGAGGTGAGAACCGAATTACGTATTTTCATTATTGATTGATTGATTGATTGATTTTCAACTTCCTTTTTTGTATAGTACGTGAAAGTGATCGTAATGAACTGACGGTTTGAAAGAATACAAGACAAAAAAAAAAAAAAAGACGAAAAACGGTGTAGTAACAAGCCCTTATAAGCCAGTTCATTCATACGCTATTCGAGTCCGTTTACATTCCATTGGCATAAGAATGCTGTGTTAGGGCTAATAGAATAAACGACCCCCAGCCCTAAACAAGCCTCGTTGAACGTTTCCGCGAGAGCGATCCCCGCTGCGGGAGACGAAGGCAAAGTTTCTCGGCAAGGACCGTCATTTGAGAGCGGCCCGCCATACGGTGGCAGCTCTCGAAAAGCCCCTATCTCCACTGCTAATCCCATACAGTGACTTCAAACCCACTATCAAAAGCTATACTCGGGACCTGATGCAAAAAAGGTGGGACACTCAAGTAGGAAGAAACAAACTCCATGAATTGAAGCCAACAATCGGTTATACCTACTTGGGTTGCCAGTCAAGACGCGATGAGGTAATTTTACGACGATGTCGTATTGGCCACAGTCGGTTTACACATGACTATCTGCTGAAAACGGATGGGGATGGACCCCCCCCATGTGTGTCTCTTGCAATGAGGTGTTCACCGTCAAGCATATTCTGCTTGAATGCGTGGACTTATCGCCTGCAAGGGACTCACATTATGAAGCAGCAAACCTAAAAGATCTGTTCTCACGCGTGAGCGCCCATCTGATACTGAACTACCTGAGGGAAGTTGATCTGTATCATAAATTGTAACTGTGAAATGTAACAACCATAAATTGTAACTATGAAATGTAACAAACCGCCTGCCTTTAAATTTGATGCTATGACTTTTTCTGCTTTTGAATGACAATGTAATCAATAAATGTCTTTGAAACAAAACTCATTCCGAGTATGTACTTACAATATTTACTAATGCAAACTTGTTCTCGTCACTATATGGCTGGAAAAATGCCGATGTGACGTAAAGCTCAACTCAACTCAACTCTCTCGCGAGGACCGTGATTTGTGACAGCGCTATTAACTATAACAAATAAAAAAAAACCACACAATACTCACAGTATGTCGATGACGTTCCAACGAATAAACAAATCCGAAACCACAATAAATCCACTGTAAATTCCAAGAGCGTTCAGATATCGAGAAATCCTCGTTTTCCTCCGATTTCTGTCGTTCATTTTAGTCGGGTGAATCTCTTATAATAATGCGGCCGAGATTTCGTGGACTCGGTCGACATATATCATAAAAGAGCCCCCCGACACATTATTCCAAAAGACCCCAATTTCATTTTACTTTTACGGCCAAAATAGTAATCATTTTTTTTTTCCTAAATAAATTCTACTAACTCCTGTACTTTCCGCAGTAACTGGTTTGCTTCAGCCACGAGGAGTAAGATCTTCTGAAAGGATTAAAAAGAAAAGGAATGGAATTAGAATAAAACAAACTTAAGATTACTGGTTAATTGTCGCGTCTATAAAAAAAATGAATGAATGAAATGAATGAGTGAAAATGAATGAATAAATGATACTCACATGCCTCGGGCTGAGGGTTTCCACCCAGGAGGGCGAGTTCCGAGTCGACTGAGTGGTGTCACCGTTTTTCTCCCTTCAGAGTAGAAGTAACAGAATACATTTAGGATTATCAGAGACCGTATGCATTGTATCGTGCAGAACAGAAAAAAAGACTACCATTAAATCAAGGAAATGTTTTCTATGGGTTGGTTTAAAAGTGTATACCGCGCATTAAAAAAACGATTTCTATTTGTAAATGTAGTAACATGTGGACTTACGTTGTCGGGGTCTCTCCCCCCAAAAACAGACATTTTCTTGCCCTTTTGGGCGAACTCGCCTCTACGCTATCCACCCAGGAGGGCGACTTCGGAGACGAGTTGGGAGTCTGCGTGTCTCCCTTTCTCTCCCTTCAAAGCAAAAAGAAAATAGAACAAATTTTTGAATTATACGTTATATAACGTGGTGTCGTACGAGAAAACCGTTGAATAAAACGCCTAAGCATCAGGACTATCGCCAAATCAAGTATATCGCGCATGAAGTATACCGCACATTAAAAAGCAATTTCTAGATGCAAGATGTAGTAAAATAGTGACTTACACGGGGGAAGGTAGTTCTCCCTGGTAGGAGAGACGCCGCTTGAGCGTCATCACTCCCGGACGACCTACAGGAGTGCTGCTCTAGAGACTACAAATGAAATTAAAATGAAAAATAAGGGGAAAAGATGAACACGACTCGTAATAAAATTTAAAATTCTTTTGTTGACATAAAATAATAAAATTACCTAAGAAAATGAAAGAAAAAGTACTTACGGATACTTCATAGTTGTGGGAGAGGAGGCGCCGTTATTGCTGTTAAACAAACAAAAAAAACATAGGAAAATAACAGTCAAACCAAATTAATTGCGATTAATAACAATATTATAACGTAATAATGTCATTGTGTTTCCAGAAGTAAAAAAAAAACATACCGAAATACTCACATAGGAAATGACGAATTCATGATGAATGAATGAATGCAGACGATACGATCACGAGATGTACTTAAGTCGGAACCCAAAACGCAAGTGACGCAAAAGTCGCGAAGAGCTACTATAAGATTTCAAGTTTCAAAAAATGAAAATGGTCTTTGCGACGTTGCCATTGGTTAAAAATGTTATGAAATCATGGGGTAACGCCGACGCAACTGGCCTTGTAATTAACGTTCGTGGAACAAAGACATACCAGGTCGTACTAAGCGATAAACATAGATCAGGAAGAATCTTTTAGGGTTTTGTTTTGTTGTTTTTTGGTTTTTAAAAATTTAACTTTTCAAACAAATGCAGCTGTCATTTTGAGATACGAAAATCAACATAGACAAAATAATGGGAATGACCCTGAAAAAGAGTATTCTCTTGATTTATGTTTGTTTTCGAATTGCGTTGACTAAAACATGAAATAATAGGACGCCGATCATGTAAAAAAAGTCTCCGAAACGAACGTGTTTCGTAGCACCGATGAATAAAATGTTCGTTCAACGTTGGAAATAATGCAAAAAGTTTCGTTTAAATCGATCCATTAGAACTCCAGTTACAATCATCCAAAGCTACTAGCCAATATGACATCATCCTCTGCTGGTTGCCGGGTCACGTCGGCATAGCAGGTAACACTAAGGCCGATGCTGCAGCAAAAGCAGCTCTCGAAAAGCCCCTATCTCCACTACTAATCCCGTACAGTGACTTCAAACCCACTATCAAAAGCTATACTCGGGACCTGATGCAAAAAAGGTGGGACACTCAAGTAGGAAGAAACAAACTCCATGAATTGAAGCCAACAATCGGTTATACCTACTTGGGTTGTCAGTCAAGACGCGATGAGGTAATTTTACGACGATGTCGTATTGGCCACAGTCGATTTACACATGACTATCTGCTGAAAACGGATGGGGATGGACCCCCCCATGTGTGTCTCTTGCAATGAGGTGTTCACCGTCAAGCATATTCTGCTTGAATGCGTGGACTTATCGCCTGCAAGGGACTCACATTATGAAGCAACAAACCTAAAAGATCTGTTCTCACGCGTGAGCGCCCATCTGATACTGAACTACCTGAGGGAAGTTGATCTGTATCATAAACTGTAACTGTGAAATGTAACAAACCGTCTGCCTTTAAATTTGATGCTATGATTTTTTCTGCTTTCGAATGACAATGCAATAAATAAATGTCTTTGAAATAAAACTCATTCCGAGTATGTACTTACAATATTTACTAATGCAAACTTGTTCTCGTCACTATATGGCTGGAAAAATGCCGATGTGACATAAAGCTCAACTCAACTCAACACAACTCAACTCATCCAAAGCTCGCAACTGGCGTTAGCGTTCGTGGAACAAAGACATACCAGGTCCTACTAAGTGATAAACATAGATCGGGAAGAATCTTTTAGGGGTTTATTTTGTTTTTTTGTGTTTTTAAAATGTAACTTTTCAAACAATTGCAGCTGTCATTTTGAGATACGAAAATCAACATAGGCAAAATAATGGGAATGACCCTGAAAAGAGTATTCTCTTGATTAATGTTTGTTTTTCGAATTGCGTTGAATAACATGAAATAATAGGACGCCGATCATGTAAAAAAGTCTCCGAAACGAACGTGTTTGGTAGCACCGATGAATAAAATGTTCGTGCAACGTTGGAAATAAGGCAAAAAGTTTTGTTAAAATCGATCCACTAGAACTCCAGTTACAGTTATCCAAAGCTGTTGACTGTCGTCAGTTATAGGCACCATAATAATTTTTAGAAATGCGCGGTATTAACGCTCTGAACTAAGAAATATTCTCACTACCCTACCTTGGGGTCGATTTCCAATTTTATTTGAATCATTTGTTTTTAAACAAAACGCGAGTATTAATACCAACCTCATCGTCGGATACGAGCTCGTTATGACGTCATCGTTTTCGTCATATCTCGTACTTATAGACCGATTCCAACGACATAGCGCGAAACGGAAGCAGCTAGACAAGGCGGCTCCAACGCACTAATCCGCATCGAGATCGGACCCATCGAGTAATGATCCATATAAGTTAAAAGTGGGTCACGTGACCACACGTGACGCCATAAAAAGACGTCTTTTTAAATTTCGGCGATTTCTCGCCTCCTTTTCGTCCTATTTTAAAAATCTTTTTTTAAGGACATCTACTCCCAAAGTTCTTTCCTGTGAATGTGTCGGCGGCGGCGTACGACGTCATCTTGTATTGTAGTTGGGTTATGTGACTGTTACGTCGTTTCGATGCTATCGAATCGAGTGAAAATAATGGCATCGTGAATGTCTTGACATAATCTACTGTTTCCTTTAGTATAAGACCGATTAGAATAACTGTATCATGAAATATATATATATATATATTTTAGGCATGGTATCATTCATGTTTCAGATGGACAAATACCGTTCTATTACAAAAACATTGTGAATTCATTCACATCGAGCGAGGATCTCAGAGCTTGGTCCCTAAGACATGACCTCGAGAATGAGGTACGTCATCCTGCACGAATTTAAACTCTTGTGCGATGAAATTGCTCAGGATCAAGACGATATACCACTCCCCATGGATTTTGATATCCATTGTCCGGTCAACTGGTCGACTTCACCAACCTCCGTTGTCACGCCCAAGAGGCCTCGTTCTGATGAAGAGGAAGAAGCAGCTGAGCTGGCCTCTTTGTGCATTGCCAACGGGCACTGGGAGGACGACCCATCTTCTGCAACATCCGTACAGTCGCTTAAGAGACTTCGTCATAACGAAGAGAAAGAAGCAGCTCAGCTGGCCTCTGCGTGCCTTGCTGATGGGGACTGGAATGACAGTCCGTCTCCAAAAAAGGTTCTGACAATCACTGAAGAGACTTCTTCCTGATGAAAAGGAGGACGCGGCTCAGCTGGCCGCTTTGTATTGCCGACGGGGACTGGGAGGACGACCCTTCTGAAAGCACAACACCTTCTCCTAAACACGTGAATTCCTCCGATCAAGGGAGGGAAAAGAGTATCCCTTGTAGACCTTGTGGTCAGATTTTCAAAAATATGTTAGATCTTAGAAGACATCGATCTGCATGCACACAGCGTTCATTATCAAATGTGCCAGCTGGACCATCAACCAGTGGGCAAATAACGCCAGTCTCTCCAAACACATCCACGAAAGAGTTTACTCAGTTCCTACCAATAATTAGTCCAAGGGTCAACCAAGATTCACCGAGAACATTACTGACAGTATTCGGTAGACTCGAGTCAATAACTTCTAACCCTGAAAGTCCCGATCGAGCTCCCGTCAATCGCGAAAGTCCCGAGGATGTGTTCTTTAGCCCTGACACTGCGGCAACAGGGGTATCAGAACAAGCGCCCTACGCAGTTTCATTCCGGAATGAAAAGACTTTTGCTAAAAACACAGCCATCCAGCGAGTGTATGAGGTCAAATTGAATGAACAATGGCAAGGACAAAGATTGCAAGACTTGGAAGATGAACTTCACAGTATGATGGACGATGTTTTAAGGAGAGCCAGGGGACATCTCGGCGACAATGATTTGGGTTGCGTTGTTATTCGCCACGAAGGTCTAGCGAATGCTATTGTTGTACCTCTCAGTAAATTACAGGATCTTAATGCCACCATTTCCAAAACTTTAGCCAGCCACAATGAGTTGAAACTGGACTCTTCATTCGAAGTAGATGTTGGCATGAGCGAGATGCCAAAAGGGGCTGGAAGTGACCATAAAATTACCAAGTCTTCTACACGGCGTATACTTCCCACGAGTCCCACCTGGTTCCATCTGAGAATATTACTGTGAGACGCTTCCATATTCAAATTGCAGAGACGCACTAAGTCACGTCTTTGAGATCCAACGTCTATGGAGGTAATGGCAAGACGAACGAACACGAGTTATTATTCGTGATCCGAATCCTGTGACATTCGTCCTTAACTACCGTGCCCCGTCTACGAAGCGAATGACTAACTTTGTACAATGTCACGGGATTTCATCCCCCTGTCACGTGGTATCTACCAGTTCCAATAATCGTTGGGGTTACAGAAGCTACACCTCAGATAACCCACCTGATTTTGGTGGTCCTCTTGAAGAATACAAGGAATCATGTATTTCAATTCGGGAACATAGTCAAACATCTCCGGAATGCAACTCTTCAGCCTCTCCCATTGATCCTCAGAAAGAATAATTCCTTTTTCATCTGTCAGCTGTTTAGTTTCGTGATCCCAAGTCCACTTTCTAACATCCACTCCGTCATCGTCTAAGGTAAGGTAGAGATTACCCCCCAGATGAATACTGCGCCCCTCAGTCCCTTCTTTTCTAGCTTCGTCCACTTGTACGAAACCATCGGGTAAACTGAGCCATTGCTTCAAGTTCAGACTCAGACCCAATTTGGTAGGATAAGACTTGCCGTTGCGATACGTGACGTATTTTGTGATATGTATACCCAGCTTGCCATGCCACATCTTGGCCGACACGTACACTTAGTCGCCTAATTCCAAATGACAACGTGAATTCGGTTTCACTACGACTTGCGCTGAGAGAGACTTTGGGACATTGTTAACCGCTGAAGTCATGTTTAACATCAACGTCTACCAGAGGTATGAGTCGACGCGAAAACCTCACCAGTACTTTAGAGGCAGAACACCAGAAATGAATATAATGGCGATGCCTCAGATTGGGTGAAATTATGATCGGAAACTCTCTTCGGCCACGCCCCCCGGACCGTTTTGATCGAAATTCAATTAAACAGAGGCCTCAGATTGGGTGAAAATTATGATCGGAAACTCTCATCAGCCACGCCCCCCAAAACGTTTTGATCGAAATTCGATCAAACAGAGCCCTCAGATTGGGTGAAAATTATGATCGGAAACTCTCTTCGGCCACGCCCCCTTAAACGTTTTGAGTTGAGTTGAGTTGAGTTGAGTTGGGCTTTACGTCACATCGGCATTATTCCAGCCATATAGTGACGAGAACAAGTCTGCATTAATATACATTGTAAGTACAAAGTGGTTTCGTTTCAAAGACATACATTCATTACGTTGTC